TTTCTTCTTATCCTGGCGACGCGCTGCCCCCCCCCCCCCCCCCCCCCCCGAGCGCGCGCCTCGACGCCTTCGTCCATGCCGCTGATCTTGTCAGGGAAGCTGGAGATCAGGCTCGAAAAGTCATCATCACTCATTGAGGGTGGCACCTCGTCGTGGGAGTTGGCCTCGAGGGGGCGGAACACATTGCGCCCCCGTCCTAGTTCGGCTGAAGGGATACGGTTTGCGCGTCGAGCGCCTCGAGCTCGGCCTCGCTGCCAGCGCGCGCGTTGCCGGTTGTGGAACTTCCCCAGGAGTGGTCGCGGCCTTGAGCAAGATTGCCCGGGGCTTCTCGAATGCTGTCCTCGTCGCGCTTTCTGCGCCCGCCGCTCTGAATGCCATGGGCAACCTTGGGCGCGTCACTCAGGCCGCCAAGCTCGAGCTGCGCACCAGCGTCCGCCTCTTGCGCGCCGCCGCAAAGAACGCGTCTCTTCTACATTCTGACCGGTGGACGAGGGGCGAAGCGGGGGAAGGGGGCTTTCATGGCCAGAAGCTCGATCCTCGTGGCGATTTCTGCATTTTATCATTAATGCTATGCAGGCAGGAGTTGCCCTGACATCCCTTCCCGCGCTATCCGTTTACTGGTGCCTGAGGAGATTGCCTTTGATTTCCCGGTTCGTTGGCGAGCTAGACTACTCCTCCGAGGGCGAAGGAATAATTGATTCATTCGTCCAGTGCCTAGTTCCCCTCGATATCTGATCAGCATGCGCCCTAAGGTTACCAGCCGACATCGTCATCCACATGCGCGCGCCGCCATGGCGGAAGCGATATCCGCCGGAGGAATCGCCATCAGGCGCCACAGGCGTGGAGCGGTTTTGCGCGACGTGGGGCGTCTTGCAATTGGAACGAGTGACCTACTTGACTTTTCTCATGCCCGATCGATGCTGGATCTATAAAAAAGAAGGCATTGCTATTTCTTCCAGAAGACCACGGAGGCGATCCCCTTCCGTCTTTCCTTCCCCACCTTTTCTTAATCATCGCGTTTTTTTCTACCCAGCGCAGCGTTCTCGACGCCGCTCGCTGCTCGCGCCCTCCGCGCCTCCCCCCGCGCCTCGCCCCCCTGCCTTCCTTCGCGGCTTATTCGCCGCCCGTCCTCGCGGCGCTCGGCGCGCGCAGCTGGGTTGCCGCGAGGCGCGCCCGCGGCCGCGCTGCCGCTGCATCTTGTCGCCGCATCGTCTTCGTCATTTCTTGGCGGCCCCGACGTTGACAGCTGGGGCAGTGGGGCGGGTCGGGTCGCCCACCCGTTTTCCTCTTCTTTGGTCAGCGGCGATTCTCTTGTCGTTCGTGCACGGGCCGGCCGGGGCGAAAGGCCGAAGTCGAGGCGCATGCCAGATAGTCGATCTCAACCCGAGGCGCCGATCGGATCGACCCCCGAGGGTGCCGGGCGCGACTGGGTGGCTCATCGTAGAAAGTTTATCCAGTGGCGCAACGCTCGGTGTCTTTGTCTGGCGGGCTTCTGGCCATGGGCAGGACGCCCATCTGACGCGACGCGGTTCGCGCTATGATTCCCCCCATGCCGCCGCGAAGCGGATGCTTCCCATGGCGCCAGCGCATGCGTTGCAACGTCAGCGCAAGGATATGGTTGATAAGCGGTTCCCGGCGCATGTGGGACGGGGGTGCCCAAGGATGTTGTTATTCTCCCATTTGCCCCAATGTGATCCACATGTGGCGGCGTGAGATGTCTACGCTGGTCTGGCAATGTCAAACCACGTTGGGCCACCCCTCCAGTCGCGACGCATTCCACGCGGGCCATTAGATTCGCATCGTATACCTTGGGGTCGCCGCCTTGGACACCGCGGGCCGGTTGAAAGCTGGCCCGCAGAGCACCTGCGATAGTTTCGTTGTGAGAATTAACGCCAGATGTTGGTTGGCCCTTGTTCTGGGCCTTGCGTATGCCGCAGGTGTCGTGCCGCGGCATGAATATGCAGATTCGCGACAGGAGTTGGCTGTGTCTCTTGTCATCTATGACAGCATTCGTCACAGATGCCTGCGATTGTGAGCTCTTTCTGCAGAGGGGGCAGCTCGCAGCAAATGCCTCGCGAAGTTTCGAATCCGCCGCAGGATGGGCCGTTGTCCATTGCGCGCGCTTGCATGTGCGACGCCGTGGTGCATCGATCGAAAGACTTCAGGCTCTCAAAGCCATCCGCGCACCTTGCTCGGCTGCTCCTCACATCGCACAGATATGGGTGTTCGTGTCGCTTTGGTTAAGCTGGGTTTCGACGTGTCTGGGAAGGAACGTATGGCGTTTTGTGTTCAAGCGATCAGAATCTGAAGCCAGCGCCGTTCACTTGTTTTCCAAAGACACACGGGGAACGCCCGTGAAGTTTCAAGTGTCACGCCCAAAGTATAGTTGTAGACGGCGTGCCGGTCCACATTGTGGGCGTTCAGTCCCGAAGAGCTGCGGGCGCCGCCTGAGGCCGTGCTTCGCGACGACCCATTGGCGCCACTCGATGCCGCGGTTTTCTCGGACACCCCGGGGGACTCGATCAGCGTCTCAGTGATTTCTGTCGGTGCACTGGCCGAAGCGGGAGCGCGAATGCTTGTTCGCATCGAGACGGAATTGCCAGGTTCGCCCATGATGCATTGTTCCCCCGAGTTCTTCAGTCTCGGCGGATCTATAGGCGAAGGCGCAGGGTTGCTGCGCAGGGTCGTCAATGATGTCTAGTTTGTGGTATGGGTGCGTACCACATGTTAGAGGATAAAACGGATGATCGTTCCTAAAGTTGGCCACGGGCCGTGCGTGTTGGCATCCTATATTCGCCTTAAGTTGTTTCACGTGGGGTCCACGAAGTATTTGCGAAGACCACCGTGAGTCTGGACGCGGCATAGGGATGGGGCAACAGCGTGGGCTTTTCCCCACGGATTGCTGTGAGGCTATAGGATGTCGCTTGTTTACACAAGGAATCATCCACGACGAAGCAGCTCAAGCGGAGGCAGAAACTCGCGTCGATTTGATGCCTTGTCTTTGGTCTGAGAGGGTGAGGGGGGGTGGCGGGGAGGATATAATGACGAATGAGACAACGCGCGGTTCAGGACGACGTACGGGTCGGCCCCCCCGAGCCGCGTGCAAAGGGGACTACCCGTAAGTATTTGTGCAGCGGCCCGCACGCCCCGCGAGTGCAGCTGCGGCCAACGTGCTGAGTCGGCATGCGCAGCGGGGGCAGTAGGATGATCCGATGAGGCTTGGAGGGGGTGGAGGTGTGGTGCGGGGGGGGGATGAGGGAGGGAAGACTGCTGCTCCACGGTTTTGCCACGATTATTCGCAGGCCTCCTGGCGTCCAGCCAGGTAACCATCGAACACGGCACTATAAGACAAGCCCACGTCTAAACATATATGTTCGCCTTTCGGGTGCTTGTCATCAGTGATTCGATTCCACTAGTATTTGCACGGGGGGGCAGTAGGCTTTCTCACTGCACTTTTGATTGAAATACCGCACGTGCCCGCCGCCAATCGAAAACGTGGGTCAGGGCGCCTATTGCCGCGATGCCTCCCCCGCGCTGCTGGAATACAGAGGGCAGGGCGAGGAGATGGGTACCGGGGGAGGAGATCCCTGCTGCCGCGTTTGGGTTGTATGTGCCTCTCAATCACTTCTTCTTCAGCAGCAACACGATATTGCGCGTTTCGGCCCCGCCCTGCGGCGCCCACGCGGTGCATGATGCAACGGATGTTCGATGTCAGACGTCAGAATTCTGCAGCGCTCTTTGGAAACAAATGTTTCTTTCCTCCTTCTCCTCCTTCTCCTCCTCCTCCTCCTCCTCCTCCTCCTTCCTCCTCCTCGATATGGCCTTCGGACGTAGCCATCCAGCCTTAGGACCGGTTGGCCCTGTGGGGGGTGAGAATGCTAGTGGGCCAGGTTACTCCAGCTGGTGGGATACGCTGTAAACGGTAGAATCAGACAAACGATAGCAGAAGATAGAAACAGACAGGCGAAACACGAGAGAGGATGAGACAAGGACGAAGGGTGATGACCTCAGCGGTGGTACCAGGTTAAAGTGCAGTGAACGTGGCAGCTTGCGATTGAAAGGCAGCAGCTGTGGGCGCGGCCACGCTCGCTAAGGTGGAAGGCGCAACAAGGCTTCTCGCCCAGCCCACAGGCGTCCGCCAGTCCCGCGACTGTACCCTCACCTGCACAGCAGGCGCAGGGGGGTACCCAGACCGCACTGGTGGACGCCTGGGGGGGGGGGGTCCACCCAACGCGGGAGTGTTTGTGCATTCCGTCGCGGTGGTCCGATTACATTCGGACCCCCCCCAGACATGTCTCCAAAACCCTTCCGTGATCAGCTGGCGGTTGCTGTCTCTATTGAGAAGGTTGGGTAGGCAAGGGCACTGCAGTGCTACAAGCGGGTGGTGACAGAGACTCTAGGGCAGCAGCTGTGGGCGCGCGGTTGACGTTTTCGTGGCCACATTTCCTCTGCTTCTTGTTGTTACTGCAGCAGCACCTCGCCCAGCCACCCCTCCTCCGTGGAGAACACGTGCAATTTTTCCATGCGGGCTGGAAGGCACGTGGTGCTACATGGCGTCCCAGCGTCCCAGGACGCTCGGCCTGCAGTACGTTTTTCCACTCGGGCCTGAATGCACGTGATGTTACATGGCGTTCCAGTCCCTGGACGCTCGGTCTGCGGTGCGTTCATTCGTAGAAGCCTATAAAACGGGGCCGTGGGCGAAAGCAAATATCCAGAGAGGCGGTCGGCCGCTACCATCTTTTGGGGATGCCGGGGCCCGAGTCTTCATCATTTGTGCTCCTCCTTGTTCTGACAAGTGTCGCTTCTACTGAAGTGGGATTTCGGCACACTCCTCCTCTTCCGCCTCCCGTCGAGCACCGTGTCCAGGCTGCGTGGCCTGTTCTTGCTGCGTCTTGTGGCGTTCCATCCTTGTCTCTTTTCGCCTCGGGCCTGTCTCTTCTGGAGGCAGGCGCTTCAGATCACAGCTTCCTCCTTCCCTCGTGGCCCTGCCGCTGCCGCAGGAGAAGAGGATGAGCCGGCTGATCCTGCGGGACGCTCCGGCCAGGCCGGCCGCCGAGGCCCCCCGCCGGCGGGCCTCGGTTCCGCTCGCCGCCGTGGCGGTTCCCGCCTGCGGGCGTGTGTCGCGCGAGGGCTCGGCCTCGCGCGTGGCTCGTCGCGGGGGGCGATCGCCCCTCGCAGCCCGCCCCTCGCAGCCCGTCCCCGTAGCTGGCCTCGGCGTGGCCTTTCCCGTCTTCTGGCGACTGTCGCGGGCCCCGCGGCAGTCGTCAGGGGCGGGGGCGCGAGGGGCGCGGCCTTCTATCTGGCCCGCGTGTCGGATATCCAGATGCCCTGCCGAGCCACTCGTGGTCTGGAGGGGGCCAATCATTCATTGTCCCTGGGTGCGTGGCTGAAGTGGAAATCCGTGGTGAGAATTCTGCTTGTTGTTGCTGCTGCTGCTGGATCTGCGGCTGCTGTTGCTGTTGCTGTTGTTGCTGCTGCTGCTGTTGTTGCTGCTGCTGCTGTTGAATACTCACTTCTAGAGAATAATTATTGCTGTTCCGGGAGCTCTCGCTTCGATTCCAGCTACATTTTAAATCTGAAAACGAGGCTCCCGTTCGAGCGTTGGTTTGACCCTAAAAGTGCGCCTTTGGAGGCCCAGCTACGACAACAACGGCTCCCGCTTGATACTACCTCACAATTTACTTCGCGACACCCTGGCCAGAGAGGCCTCAGAACTCAGGAACGGCGCTCTCGCTCGAGACTCCTTTGCAATTCAATCAAGTTGGCGGGGGCCCAGTCACGACGACAAAGGCTCCTGCTCGATACTTCCTACGATCCGAGAGCCCCTGGCCAGGAAGGCCCCCGAACTCAGGAACGGGGCTCTCGCTCGAGACTTCCTCATGATTCAGTAAAATTGGTGGAGGCCCACCTGCGACGACAAGGGCTCTCGTTCGATACTTCCTCAAGATGTATTCGCAGAGGCCCCCCTTGCCAGAGATGCCCCCGAACTCAAGAGTGGTGCTCTCGCTCGAGACGCCCTCGTCATTCAGTCAATTTGGTGAGGGCCAAGCCGCGACGACAAGGGCTCCCGTTCGTTAGTTCCTCAAGCTGTACTTCAAGAGCCCGTGGCCCGAGTTTGCAATTCAGCAGCGGCACCAGAGGCCCACCTGCGACGACAGGAGCTCCCGCTCGACACCCCCTTTAATATTCCTACACGACCTGGCCAGAGAGGCCCCCAAACCACAAAGGCCCCAGCACGCTGCTCATTGAGGCCTTCGGACACAGCCCACAAACGCTCCAAACGCGCCCACAAGGGGCCCCAGCACGCTGCCCACTGATGCCTTCGGACACAGCCCACAGAGGTCCGGGCGCGCTGCCCACTGAGGCCCCCAACACACAACTCACTGAGGCCCAGAGTAAGCCCACAGGGACCGTAGCATGCTGCCCGCAGGCCCTCTGTCAGCCCACATAGGCGCCAAGCGCGCCCACGGAGGCTCCCCCGCGCTGCCCACACAGGCCCCAAGCGCGCCCACAGAGGCCCCCGCGCGCTGCCCACTGATACAGCCCACTGAGGCCCCAGCCCTCAGAGGCCCCGAGCGCGCCCACAGAGGCCCCAGCCCACAGAGGCCCCAAGCGCGTCCACAGAGGCCCCAGCGCGCTGCCCACTGAGGCTCTCGACACAGCCCACAAAGGCCCAAGCCCCCGCCCCAAGCTTGCCTACGGAGGCCCCAGCGCGCTGCCCACTGAGGCCCCCCGTTCCACAGAGGCCCCACGCGCGCCCCAGCCCACAGAGGCCCCAAGCGCGCCCACAGAGGCCCCAGCCCGCAGAGACCCCAAGCGCGCCTGCCCACTGAGGCCCCCGACATAGCCCACAGAGGCCCCGAGCGTGCCCATGGAGGACCCGGCGCGCTGCCCACTGAGGCCCCGACTTCCTACAGCGGCCCCACGCGCGCCCACAGAGGCTCCTGCCTACAGAGGCGCCAAGCGCGCCGAGGCCCCCGCACGCTGCCCACTGAGGCCCTCCGGCACAGCCCACAGAGTTCCCAGCGCGCCCACAGAGTCCTCAACCCACAGAGGCCCAAAGGCGCCCACAGAGACCCCAGACGCGCCCACAGAGGCCCCAGCGCGCTGTCCACTGAAGCTCCCCAACGCAGCCCATGGAGGCCCCAAGCGAACCCACATAGGCCCCAGCCCGCAGAGGTCCAAGGAACGCCGCTTTCGCATGTGACTTCTTCGCAATTCAATCAAGTTCGCAGATGCTCTGACGCGACGAGAATCCCGCTCGATATGTCCTCGCGATTTACTCTTGGAAACCCTGGCCAGAGAGGTTCCCGAAATCAGGAACAGGGCTCTCGCTGGATAATTCCTGGCAAGTCAGCCAAATTAGTGGGGACGCGGCCGCGATGACAAGGGCTCCCGCTCGATGCTTCCTCGCGATTTGCTCCGAGAGGCCCTCTCGCGTGGTCAATCCTTCTCTTCCCCCGTCCGTCCTCCCTTCCTCAGTTTCAGGGGTTGCGCTAAATGTGCGCGGCAGGTAAGGAAGATAGACCCCCGAGGGGGTACGGTCGAAAACACAGAGGGCGGGTATCGAGAGGGGATGTACGTGTTGCGTGGCACGCGATCACATAAGAACACATTCTCTTAAATTGTTGTTGTTGTTGTTGTTGTTGTTGTTGTTGTTGTTGTTGTTGTTGTTGTTGTTGTTGTTGTTGTTGTTGTTGTTGTTGTTGTTCAACATTATTACTTCTCAAGAATAATTATTGTTGGGACCCCTGGTGCACGACCCCCCCGCCGCGCCTAGGCCGCAGCCTCATTTTCATCATTTTCGTGAGGAAGTCTCAGGCAAAACGGGGGAGTCCGGATCCGGTTGTGTTGTTACGATCGGTTTTCCCTTGCAAAAAATAAGCTAAAGTTGACATTTCTTGTTCTAACATAACCAAACTTCAAGAATCCCTTGCAAAAAATAAGGTAAAGTGGACATTCGCGCGCGCAAGACGAAATCCTTCCAAAACCTTAGTTTTCGTAGCGATTTTAACATAAAAACATCAAAAAACCAATGGTTTTTCAAAAAAAATGTCAAAATTTCATCCCGCGCGCTCTTGCGGATTCGTAGGAAACCCAACACTTTTTAAACATTTCTGTCAAACGGGCTTTTGCGAGCAACTTTTTCGAACTTCTGCAACAACGGTTGCGCACCTGCCAGGGCCATCATCCCTGTCAAATAATACCATGCGGGACACATTCGTTTTTTCTTCGCGCGCGCACGCCGTCGTCGTCGGCCGCGGGGCCCTGAATAGTAGCCACGGTCGTCCGCATGCCACGAAGTGAAGTGTCCGAACGTCATAGGGCGGGAAGCTGGGTGTGGGTGGTGGCGAAGAGTCGTTTGGAAATTTGGTAGAGCTTGAACCGGCCCCCCCACAAAGTGGGGGTATTGCCCGCCTCCTATGAAAACCCTGGCACTGGTGAGAACGGTGTGTCCCCACGTGCTAGTAATTGTTGTTGTTGTTGTTGAACATTATTATTCTAAAGAATAATTATTGTTGGGGCCCCTGGTGCACGACCCCCCCGCCGCGCCTAGGCCGCAGCCTCATTTTCATCATTTTCGTGAGGAAGTCTCAGGCAAAAACGGGGGTCCGGATCCGGTTGTGTTGTTACGATCGGTTTTCCCTTGCAAAAAATCAGCTAAAGTGACATTTCTTGTTCTAACATAACCAAACTTCAAGAATCCCTTGCAAAAAATAAGGTAAAGTGGACATTCGCGCGCGCAAGACGAAATCCTTCCAAAACCTTAGTTTTCGTAGCGATTTTAACATAAAAACATCAAAAAACCAATGGTTTTTCAAAAAAAAGTCAAAATTTCATCCCGCGCGCTCTTGCGGATTCGTAGGAAACCCAACACTTTTTAAACATTTCTGTCAAACGGGCTTTTGCGAGCAACTTTTTCGAACTTCTGCAACAACGGTTGCGCACCTGCCAGGGCCATCATCCCTGTCAAATAATACCATGCGGGACACATTCGTTTTTTCTTCGCGCGCGCACGCCGTCGTCGTCGGCCGCGGGGCCCTGAATAGTAGCCACGGTCGTCCGCATGCCACGAAGTGAAGTGTCCGAACGTCATAGGGCGGGAAGCTGGGTGTGGGTGGTGGCGAAGAGTCGTTTGGAAATTTGGTAGAGCTTGAACCGGCCCCCCCACAAAGTGGGGGTATTGCCCGCCTCCTACGAAAACCCTGGCACTGGTGAGAACGGTGTGTCCCCACGTGCTAGTAATTGTTGTTGTTGTTGTTGTTGATACAGGCGGGGGGCAAGCCCCCCCGGGGGGGGAGGGGGGGGGGGGGAACAACACAACACAACACAACGCACCCCTACAGGAGGATCCTGTGGGATCCGTACAGGGTTCCATAGGATTCCCACACGACCCTTACAGGGTTCCATAGGACGCCCATAAAACCCCTACAGAGTTCCATCGGACTCCCATTCGACCCCCACAGGGTTCCATCGGAGTCCCATAGAACCCCTACAGGGTTCCATCGGACTATTTCGGCGCACCCCTCACGCGGCTCGTGGCCCTACAGGGGGCGCAGCCGAAGGCTTCGGGACCATTTCGGCGCACCCCTCACACGGTTCGTGGCCCTACAAGGTGCGCAGCCGAAGGCTTTCGCGGCCCCACATGTGGCGCACCCGAAGGCTTCGGGCCCATTTCGGCGCACCCCTCACACGGTTCGTGGCCCCACAGGGGGCGCAGCCGAAGGTTTCGGGCCCATTTCGGCGCACCCCTCACACGGTTCGTGGCCCCACACGGGGCGCAGCCGAAGGCTTCGGGATTCTTTCGGCGCACCCCTCACACGGTTCGTGGCCCCACAGGGACCGCACCCGAAGGCTTCGGGCCCATTTCGGCGCACCCCTCACACGGTTCGTGGCCCCACAGGGGGCGCAGCCGAAGGCTTCGGGTCCATTTCGGCGCACCACTCACACGGTTCGTGGCCCTACAAGGGGCGCGACCGAAGGCTTTCGCGGCCCCACATCGGGCGCACCCGAAGGCTTCGGGTCCATTTCGGCGTACCCCTCACACGGTTCGTGG